TGTATTACATCTCTGTAAAAAACATAAAACATTTTGCTTCACGCTTTATATCCTTCCCTGCAGTTGCCCACGATCACAACAAAAAAATCCTGTACTCTGCAGGATAGAAAGCCATGAGGGAGAGATTTTATGTTAGGAGGCCCTTCGTGTGTGTGCTGTTCGCCGTTACTCAGAACTGAATGGGAATTGTTGGAACAAAGACCTTTTAAATGAATGCAAAATATCTTGGATTCAGTAATAGCGATTTTGTGCTTGTGTTTGCTATTTTTATTTGTGTTTGTATGTGGTGGTTGAGATGATCAAGAGAGAAATGTGTTCCTGTAATGTATTCTGTGGTGGTGGTCACTCACTTGGTTTGGTAGAGCAAAAAGAATAGCAAAAAACCCTAATAATTTAATTAGGATAAATTAAATTTGTCGTTCAGCTGTTAGCCTTAGATAGAGAGATAAGAAGACATTTTGGGCATATGCCAGAGCATATATGCTCCATATATGGAGCACTGGCATATATGGACCTCGTGTCCTCTTACAGGATGCTGCTGTTGTGTGCAGGAATTTTATTCAGACTAAAAGTTGTGAACCTATTTAGACGGTCCATGCAGATCTTTCTAAAAATAGTTTTAAATTATTTTGATGTTTTTAATGCATAGGTGAATATAACATGTACTGTTCTGGTGCTTTATCACGTTCTGATATCCCTTATGCAGGTAGCTGTCTGAAAATAGCCATTGGAAGTAGCACAAAACCTATTACTTCAGTGCTAGTTCCTGTTTTTTTGTTTCTTTTTTTCTGTCCTTGACTATTTACTTGATGGTTACTTTCCTTCTGTAGTTGAATTTCATCATCATTGGATTTCCATGCCATGTGTTCCACTATCCCACTGTCCTTTTGGTCTTACATATCGATTCCCTGTAGAAGTGGACTATGGTTGTGTGACTTTCACAAGAGCAAGACCTCTCTGGAGGCGGTTACAACTTGTAGTAGCTGAGTATGATCTCAGCATCTCCACACTGGCTGTAAGTAAATGGCTCTGTGCTGTTGATGTGTCCTGCATCCGGGCTGTTGATGGTTCTGCATTGGAGTTTTCGGGGCAGGATGAGGATGTTGGCTGTGGTTGCTCTGACACCTGTACCACACGAAGAGTTCCAGCAGAACAGGGTCTGGTGACTATTTAGGGAATATGCTTAATAGCTTTCCTTGGCTCTTCATGCCCCTGTCTCTTCCACATCTCTTTGAAAGTGGTTTTCATAGTAATGACTCCATTTCTGTTCCTGCTTCTTTCCTGTTTACTCTTTTGCACAAGAAAGGAAGGGGAATGGGATTCTCCTGAACTCCAGAGTTCCTAGTCCCTTCACCTCTGTCTCAGGACTGATGTGCTGGAAAAATACAATTGCTTAACCCTCCTCAGGCTGCCAGTGCTGCAGCTCTGGAGATGGAGCCGCACACACATACCCATACATTGCTGCAGGAAAAAAACCAGGTGCTTCTGCAAGGTTCCAGGTATGAGAGGAGATGCTCCTGTTGGAAAGCTACTGCCTTACTGAGCAGCTGCCCGCCTGCCTGCCTTCTGCCCCTATGGCCAGTGGCGGTGAGCACGCTTAACGAGGAATTTGCAGCAGAACCAGCTCCTGCTAATTGACAGCAACCACTTGACACCACAGGGATGCTGAAGTTTAGGATCGTGACCACATATGTGTCCATGACTTAGTGAGGAGCAGTAAATGTCTACTGTGGTTTTTTTTTTTTTTTTAATTGACAAATATTTTTTACATTGAGTTGTGTGTTTTCTACCAGCCTTTCAGTCATTCAGCTTCTCTCAAGGAAGCAACATTTTCGCTTTTTCACAACCTTACTGGCAGAAATCCTTCAGTGAAAGTGACTTTGCTGGGTTTGTAACAGGATGAAGGCAGCATTTCAATTTTCTGATGACTTTGCATAGTCTGCCTGGGGAGAGAATGACAGTGGTTACCAATTGCCTACAAAGAAGTTAAAAGTCTGTAGGATTTGCCATGTAAATGCTCTCTAGTTTTTGAAGCAATCGTAGCTTTGCGTTACTGCTTGTAGATTTTATTTTGTTACATGCTGTAGGTATCTCTGCAAAACCATTTGCTCCTTTCTGTGCCTTTCCTATCCAACCCTCTCCCTGCAAAAAATAAACTCAAACCCAACACAAATAAAATAAATAAACCAGTAGAAAATATCTGGGCAGTGGCCGAGAGTGCTCGGAGGGAGCTGTGCTGTGGGAGGTGGTACCAGTGAGCTGCTGGCACAGGTTTGAGCATAGTGCACGGTGGTGTTCCTCAGTGTAGCCATTCAGCCCATAGGAAGAAATATTAAGCCTTGCTTCAAAACCAAGTCCCTGTTTCTGGCAAAAAGCAGAAGTGTGTAAATGCAGGAAGATGCATTTAGCATTCAGACTCCTGTGGGAATTTAATTGGGGACAAGGAATAAGCATTGAAGCCAGTAATACTTTCTGTATTTGGAAGATGGAAATGAAGGGTAATAAATTTACATAATGGTTAGAGGGGTTTTTTTCCCCACACAACTTACATAAGAATTATTTGTTTTGCAAACCATTACATTTGGAGAGAGGTACAATATTCCCCTTCAATAGCCGAGTGCAACTGAAGATCCTGTGTGCAGATTTGGTGTGCCTGCAGTTGCTCAGGTCCTACACCGGGCTTTCACGTGTGTAAATTCCTTGTGTCTTTTTTTTTTTTTGTCTTTTGCCTTATGGACAGATGATGTGTGTTCTCAGGACAGAAGCCTTGATTCTGCAGTGTGCTGATGTGTCCAGCTGTAGCTGCAGTCAGGAGTACTCAATTCCTGGCAGACCTAGAAGTGGTTTATGAGTGAATCTGGCTTAATAGTTTTCTATCCTAAGCTATATTCAGGAACTGGAGAAAATCTTGGGTTTGGCTCTTCTGTCTTCAGCTGCTACCAGAAACTTTCTTAACTGTGTGCTGACAAAAATGAGGAGATTTCAAATGTTAAGTTTTGTGAATGAGTGAATGAGTGAAATATTACAAGGAACTGCAAATTAAGAGTTTTCTGGAGAATGCCACATGTACACTCCCAGTTATATCACTTTGATCAGTGAGTTTTGCGTAAGATTTGGGGGATAGCAGGCAGTCTCAGGCTTGTTATTCAATTAGAGTATAAAACTACTGACATTTTCTTTGACAGCTGAGGACTCAAATTTGTGTTTCCCCTAAATGTTTAGTCAGTATTACCCACAAAATCCTTAAACTTTTTTTTGGTATGAATTGAAGAGCTAAAGCACGTGGCATTCTTTGCTCCTTTCAAAGTGAATACTTCCCAAAACAGATTTCCATCTTTTTTTTTTTTTTTTTAAGGAACCCTTTGCATAACTTGCAGTCACTACAGTGATAGTGGATACATTGTCTAGAAGCTCATTAATTTTTTTTTTTAGAGAAAACATCATTGTTCTTACAAGGTATGACTCAAATTTCTTCCTTTCTTGAACCTTTGGAGAATGAACATATTGGTTACTGAAAGCCTGTATTGGAGCTCTGCATGTCCTTCTAGTGTTGATTTAGAAGGATGTGCAATGTCTTGCTCAGCTGTAATGACTATGAAGATGCAATGTGATGTGGTGGAGACCAGCAAAACAGGATCTTTTCTTTCAACACCGTCTTTATTGAACAGACCTTTGCAGGGGATGGATATTAGTGCAGGTTTCTCTTGAAAATTCACATGGATATTTTACGTGCACGTTTTTAATTTGGCTGTTTGTCTCTACAAATCTAATTCAGGGAGTTAGGTATCTGTGAATTACTCAGTTCCAGTCTACTGTGTGAATGAAAAAGATGCTGTGTAGATGACCATTAATTCCACTTGTGGATTTATTTTCTCTATTTTAAATACTATATCTTACTAACCTTTTAATAGGGGAAAAAAACCCCAAAACCAAAACCCACTTGCTCTTGGTACATGTTTTGTGTCCTTTATACCTGTCCTAAATGGATTCCAGAAATGACTAAATTAGAAGCCTTTCAGCATGTATGATACTAATGGAATTATATATTTATTCTGTTTCATATTGTGATGGCGTTTCTTTGATTTCCAAATAAAATTAAAATCCATGAAGACTCTAACTTAAAGTCTTGTGTACTGAGAGCAAGGGGGAGCTCAGTCCATTGATGTGGAAGAAAGTTTGGAGTCAAGAATGAATGGAACTACTGCTTTAAATAAAAGATAAATGGCTTACTTTTAATAGAGAGCACCAGTTAAGAGAGTCTTAATTTCTCCTCAGCTTTATTCTGCAGTTCAGAAAAGGTTTGTTGATGCTATACAGAAGATAGCCCTACTCCTTTTATTTGCAGCAACCATTTTTTCTTAACCATCATTACCAAGACCTGTACAGCTTCTTCATTTATACATGTGTTTTCTATTTTTAAATAGTTCAAGGGTTAGATCTGGTAACAGACAAAGATATTTCAAGCCATCCCAAGAAATATTTGTACATTTATGCCTGACCTTGAATATCTAAATCACTTTGATAAGAACGTAGCTTTCAAAAACCTTGTTTACTTCCGTCTTGTCAATTTTCTCTATTTTTATTTTTTCTTCAGCTATTAGCATGATTTGGATATGTTGCTTAAGTGGATAGAACTAAAAAAGACATTTCTTTTTTTCCACATATGAGGGGAAAAAAGATTGTCCTCTTTGGAACTGTTATAGCATAATGTATCATGATAGCCTTGTACTCTTGGGCAACAAGGAAATGAATTTATTTTCCCATTGTAATGTTCATATGCTTCATTTTAAGTTAGTAAGAAATATCACACGACTTAAACTTTTAGCAAGTTTGCTGCATGAATCTTTCATATTTTGGTTACAAAAAGGTATTTCAGATTCCATGTCTTCAGGCATGTGAAAAGTTAGTAATGTTTGGAGATGTCCTTTAACATTGTTAAGTCTTTTTTTCAAAGTTAACCTGAATATCAAAAATAACTAAAACCGTTCTGTTCTCTGCAGTACTTTGGAAGCTTGCTTGTAATATTCTGCGTCGAACTGGCCTGCGGTGTTTGGACCTACGAGCAGGAAATAACGGTGAGTCAGAAAAGGAGGCTGCATTTTTTCAACAGAAGAAAACAAAGTTTTCCATTAGCTAGCCGTTTTCTAATTGCTGTAGTGTTTATCTTTGTGCATTATTCCGACAGTCTAATTTCATGCAACTGCCTTTCTTTAAAACAGAGAATTCTTCTGGGAAAGCTTGTGTGTCTGGAAGGTCCTCTCTGGGTTTCTCCCCACCCCCTCTACGTTTGAGAGCCAAATCCTGCAGCCCCTGATTTAAGGACTCTATTTTTTGTTAATGCTTGCTTAGGCAGGTTCTCATTGGAGTCAGTGGAAGTTTTGAGGATAAAGTATGAATTTAAGGCTTAAGATAAGTATTTGAGAGAGGAGATGTGAGAATTTGAAGGGATTTTGCCCTAAAAGTTCTTCCATGTTTTAAAGAGCTATAGCTGAGTGTACTACATTGTAAACAGACAGTGTGTTCTTCCAACAGAGGACTTGCTGTCTCTCAAAATCTTCACACTGCCTCCACAAGCTATAAATGCCAGTTTTAAGCAAAACATGTCTTAGCTATAAAACACTCTTCAGTAAACTTGTGAAGAGGTTTTCTCTCTGTCTAGTTTTTATAGCTGTACCAACCTTTAATTTTCAAACTGAAGACTTGTAACCATCATGCAAGAAAATGGGTAAGCGTTGAGTGGAAATTAAACTGAAATGTTACTCTGCTGGCTGCTATAGCCTTACGTCTCGTACTCAGTCTGGTACATTTTTATGAACAGAGGGACAAATATTTTCTCTGAGCTGCCAAGATATGCCAAATATACTGGTCTTTCCAACAGCGAGCAGCAATTACACTGCAGTAAGATGGGAGGGAGCCTTCCTGATATTTACACAGTACTGGGACCAAAGGAATTTCTGGCAGATTTGAAGTCTGAAGTTACGTGGCAGCACTTTGCCTCAGCATTCATTCCCTTGCGGTACAGATTCCAGAGGGGTGTTCTAATATAACAGCCATTAAGGCTATCCCTTTACTTCAAATGCCAGCTTACGTTGATGCATTTGAAAATTGGGAATGTGGACAAGAGGCATGCTTCATCCTATGGGCACAGCTGCCCTCTGCGGGGGGTTTTGCCAAAGATGACAGTTACAACTAACATCCATCTTTCCACAGAAATCTTGTCAGTGGAAGCTGCCTGAAATAACATAGCCTTCAGTGCACTGGTACATGCATTCTCCAGCCTTCGCTATTCAGTTAGAGAACCTGAAATTACAGTGTGTTTGAGTGTGACCCCCAAGCTTTCACTTACCTGCTATGCTACCGAAACCCAAACCTGGGACACTTTGATAGAAGCTGGCATAGCCCTACCATATGTTAAGGCACTGGTGGTGCTCCTTTCCTCCAAAATAACCACAGCTGTCCCTGCACTCCTTTGCCAAAAGAAGCAGCGCTGAGCTCTGTCTCTGTGCCTTCTGCAGTGGGTCACAGTGAATCCAGATTCTCCACACTCCTCTGGTTCTTCCTCTTTCTCCCAAGAGTTCGAGTGTATGAACATGCAAATAGAACAAAAAAAAAATCTCTTCAGCAACTGCTTTTCTTTTCTTTTTTTTGTCTCTCTTTATGCTCTCCCTGTAGATTTTTTTATATTTTTTTCCTCATCCTTTGAGATACTGCTTTTTCTGTTTTCTCTTTCCATTTGTTTTCCTCTTCTTATTTCCTTTGTCCTAACACTACTGCTCTTCATGTGATGAGGTGGGCCAGACTCAGCTTTCTCACGGCTGAGACCTGTAGGGAATGTGGCAGTCTGGAAGACCACAGTTGTTTTTCAGTGGTTCTTTCATAACTGTGCAGGTCACTTCCCTAGAGCATGCTTTCTCCTGCTCTACTTGATAAATATAAGAAAACTCCCTCTTAATACTCATGGGGGTGACTTGATGTCATGTTGGTTTCAGTGTAGCATGAAATCACAGGAGCCCCTGGTGGTTTCAGAGAATCAGTTGGCATTAGTGTAGGTGGGTAGGTGATGTTGTCAAAACGTCACCAAGGCATAACCGCCTCTGCTGATCCAATATGGGCTCTCCTTGGCGTGTGGACAAGTTGCTGTAAGAGTCCTCGTATAAACAATTTTCCTTCCAGCTCATGATAGCTCTCAGCATGAATTGTGCCTCGTGACTAATTTATTCCACCCGCAGGATTGAAAAGCCAGTGTGGGTTCTCGGCTTACTTGGGCATTGGTCAAGCCTTGAGACTCATTAGAAAAATAATAACGAGTAAGTAGATCTCAACAGCAAACCGAGCTTTACAGAACTTACGCTAAAATCAAACCAGCATCTCTAGTTTGTGTTTTTCTACGCCCTACACAACAGTGCTGGTGTATAGTCAAACAAATGCATCTCAAGGTCACGTACTGCTGTGCAGTACTGTGTGAGTGAGCTGACGGGAAGCTATTTAGTAGATACATCAGTGTCCTTAGTTTGATATGTTGGCATTCTCGGAACAGTCAAACACAGATTCCAACATCCCTTCTTAGCTCCAGAATTTGAATTGCCTTCCTACAGTGGGGTTTAGTTTGTTTTGACTTGCTTTTAATTTCCTTCTCTCACTTCTTGATTTTATTTTTTTTCCTGCTTTCCATTGTTTTCATAAAGAAGTTAGACGCCTTGTGCTACGTGCGTAACCTTGGACTGTATTCAACTCAAATAAGATAATAAAAAAATAGTCTAGCAAATGTGAGCTTAATTGCAGCGATAGCAAATATTATCCAAAGAAAGCAGAGTGCTAACTTCCAGCTCAGTGGAAAGAGAAGTGCATTGAGTACAAAATCAAATCTTATTATTATAGTGACCAGTGAAAATGTTTGTGGTAGAAATATTCTGTGATGCTGTTTTTAAGTATTGTTAGTACTTTACTGCTAGCATGTTTTTCATGTGGACAACTGTGAGTTCAATGCTTTATAGCTTTAAGAAATAAAAACTTTGCAAAGTGAAAGGTGTGTTAAATTTCTGTGATGATATTAATATATTAATATACATGATATATAAAGCTTTACCAGGTTGGCAAAAATGTAGTACAACTTAACAGCTGTAATGAAATACTATCAAATGGTCTTATTTGGATTACGGAGTCAGCAGGCAGTGATTGTCACTATATTTTTGTAGAGCATCTAGCATGACAAGGACCAGGCTCCCTGGGGAAGTAGTGTGATTTATTTTTTTTTTTTCCCTTGGGTTATATTTACTGATATTTGCAGAATGCCCCTACTGTTCACTCCAAACTGAACAGGATAGCTAAGTCACAGCCACTAGAGGAGCGGGGCTCCCCCACCCTCCAAATGAGAGCTGGTCTTACAGTTGTGATTTCCTTCACCATGACTATTAAGGCTAATGGGAACAAGGCAGAACTCAACATGAATAGTATGTGTGCCTAGAAGGGCAACTGCAAAGTCTGCAGCTTCTTGTCTTAGTTTGGTGCACTGAAATTTGTACTGCTGACCTGAAGTTAATATTTTATCTTGACTCTTAACTGCATTGTATGCCAGCTGCCATAGCACTTGCTTCTATTGTTTCTAACAAACTCCTAACTGAGGGTCATAGTCTGGCAACGGAGAGCACCAGCTCCTCACTTCTGAGTAGTCAAATTTGAAAGAAAAATTCTTCGAGAATCCTTCTTTCAGAAGAAAAGATTTACAAGGCCATGAGTGTGTGTGAAGAAAAAAGTTCAGAGGGCCTCATTGCCTACGCTTCCTTGGTTCTCTTCTTTAGCAAGATACTGAAATTGAGCACATTCAGGATACCCGTGTGTGGGACTCAAGGCAAAGCCAGAAAACCACTGAAAAGAATTTCAGGGTAGAATTAATCTCAGTTAATTTTACATATTTAGAATTTAGATGTTTAAGTATGTCACCTTAGACAATGAATTGGATTTGAGACTTCAAGGGAATGATTCATCTGCTCTGTTTAAAATATTTATCTTGAGATGAATTGCCCCATATGACTGCCTGTTTCATTCTGTTGACTAAGGTGACACCAGAGAGAGACCTAAATTGGGGCAGACAAATGCCATCCTCAATGACTTGGATGGGGCTCGGTTGAAGTTTTATGCCGGATAAAAAAAAATCTGGTAATGATCTAATCAAATTGTACCCAACTATCTCTGAATCTCCCCAAAATGCAGCTCCTTTTTCAGCGTACATTAATTAGTAAGCAAAGGATACAAATAATTTTTCCCGATATTTTAACAATGACTCATGAAGTTTCAGTATCGTAAAAATTGAAGCACTTGTTTTCCTGCTTTATTTGAATATAAAGTTATTTTGGTCATCACACTGGAAAGATCTCAGAATAGATGGAAGTTCTGGGTTTAGAGCCACAAGCCAACTGATCTGTTGTATGAGTCACTTGTCTTTCCTTGCTCCAGGTTCCAGTGCAATGGTCTGATATGATCACACTGAAAGCCAGGATGACCAATTATGGCCTACCTAGGTACCAGTGGCTGACCCATGCTTGGAATTTCTTCCAGAGGGAGGTAAGATGACAGTTAACATATATTACTTCAGCTCACAATTATTTGTCTGCTAAAGGAAAAGGTTTGGTTTTAAGTGAATAGGTAAATAGATGCAAGTTCACTTCATGTGAAACCCTGTGTAATGATGATACCTGTTAACATCCCTTGATATCTAACTCTTGAGCTTTTGTAGGCCCTAAAACACCAAAAGAAGTATGTTATTACATGTAACTAAATTGCTAACACTGCCTTCTTTGCTGGTAAGGTTAGGACACCGACACCTTTTAGGATTATTACAACATTTAAGAATATGATGTGTATAAAATTAAAAATCTGCAGGTAAAGTAAGATGAACGTTTCTGTATGCTGTTTTAATATTACACTGTGCTCACCTTCCTGTAGGCTCTGTTAGTTTCCTTTCATGGAGCTGTCATCGTTTAGATACATGTTTAGCTGGAAATGAGTGAGAAAGGAAGTTTCCAAAAAGATGCCAACACTGTCTCTTTGGCTCAGATTAGAGAAAGTGATCAGAGTTTTTATTTCCTTTGACAGGGGGGCAGGAAACAAACCAAAAAGCTGCCTTGTGTATTCACAGCTTTGCCCTCTAGCCTACTAAAATTCAGAACTGTTTTTAAAGAACGAAGTATTATGTTACAAAAACATGAAATTGCCCAAGGTAAAATCCATTAACTCCAAATATAACTCACGTGCAGGAAGAGAACTCTTTAAATGCCTGTCATTGTGCTGCCCTTGTTGAAACATTGAAATCTATCATTGTTGCACAGATTTCCTGTTTATTTAAACATTTCCTGGCAGCACTTGGTTAGTCTGTATTTATACTAAAACCTGAAAGAAAGAGTGAGGACTGCATTAGGTTAAATGCCCCCCATCCTCCCCAGACCCCTGCTCTGGCTATGCAAATGCTCTGTGAAACGGAATAATCCTTCACATGCAGGTAGAACAGTTGTGTCTGTTCTGTACCTGAAATAACATAATCAAATGGCCTCGACTTCCCTGAATGGAGCTGATACTGTAATTTGGTTTAAAATTTGGCTGAATAAATTAAAAGCTGCCTCTCATACTCCTAGTTGTCGTAGTGTCATCGTAATGGCTGGTTTTAAAATGAATATTAGTAATAAAACTTCAAGTGTGCCTTAACTCTTCCAGGGGAGAAAAAGTGCCTGTTAGAAGTTAGATTTCCTATATTTCATCTCTGACCAGAGGAATGATTTGGGGAAAGTTTTTGAAGTGACCTGAGAAGGCTCTTTCCCAGCTCTGAGGTAGTTGGTGGGCTCTCACTTTTATTCTGTCTGCTCAAAACTCAGACGATGGATGTGTGAGCCTGGTGTGTGCTTTATGCCTGAATGAGCACGATGCTCGGGGCCCTTCTTAAGTCAGCATTACAATTTTGTTCCCAAAGAAAAAGATTTGTAATTACAATTTTGTTCCCAAAGATTCAACTGTGATCAGCTTTGTGCTCGTTTCTTCTGTGTATTTTAACATCTGAGAGAGATGGGAAATGTCTTTTCCCCCCAGTCTCTTGCTGGTCTGATATGAGAGTTGTGACCATGCTAAGGAAGACAGGGAGAGTCAGTTGAACTGGGCCAGAGGGAGAAAAGATTTGAGAGTAAGAAAAGGGTGTCTTTGCAACTACAATGAGGAGCTAAAGCTTGAGTTTTCCTTAGACAGTCCCATGCTGGGAGGATTTTTATGACTAATGAGCTGATAAAAACAGAGTCATTAAAGCTGTGGTGAAAAAGGAAGACGTGAGATTTGTCAGAGGAAAGGTGAAGTCCAGTCACGGTGTGTGCCAACACCGCGTCTGGGCACAGATCTGCTTGGTTGTGACCAAGGAATGGCATGGTATATACAGGACTCTGGCTCTGAGGTGAGTAAGGGGGGCAAATGTTCCCAAGCCCATGGGCCAAAGGAACCAGGTGATGAATTCCAAACACTCAGGCTGGTACTGGAGGACATCCAGACAGAAAAAAAGTAGCATCTCGTTCCTGCAGCAAAGCTTTTTTTCAGTCATATCAAGTCCCAATCCAATGGCAAAGAAAATCTAATATAGCAGCTTCAGCCCTTTTTTATGTGAAAGCAGATAGGAATGTAGTAGGCTGGTCGTTTGGCTTTAAATCTCTCTGGGTGCTTTGCAGAGGAGAAGACAGGTTGTTAGTCCTGGTGGTTTTTATAGCCAATTATGGCTCATCTGCTTTGCAGCCAGGCTTCCTACTTTTATGGTTGATTCTGTTGCAGTGTTTATTTTAGTGTGGTACTGCTCTTTCCATTCTCCTTTTTCCTTTCAGCATTTGTGATTTCTATACCTTTTTGCTCACTTTTTCATCCCCCCCCCCTTTTTTTTTCCTTTATTCAAATAAATTTATGCTTTTTCTCATCTGGTTTCCAACATAGTTGTAGCCTGCAGGGATAGTCCTCATGAGTAAGACTTTAATCATCTTTTCCTGCTACTTCCTTCAGCCATGGATATATTTGTTCATTAGTTACCCTTTTGCCATGAAATTACCGTGTGTTAGTTCCTTGCAGTAAGGATAGCAGAATTACAGGTTAGGACAATTTCTGTGAAGCATCCTTCGAGGTAGCAGTTGGAATTTAAAGGACAGCAGAGCAGTATCATCGGCTGTTTCCAAGGTGTTCATCGGTCACTATACTACATTTTTCCATTGCTTTTATGTCAAAGTACAGCAAAAGAAGATATGTGGAAGCTCTTGTAGATATTTTTAGTTGTATGTAAATATTTTGAAAGTTCTTAATGGGAATTTATTTAGCTTTTTCGATGACCTACCATTATGAGGAAGTAGCATCATTATTGCTGATCTTGGTTAATCCTTCCTTTGCAGTTTAAATGTTGTGGGGTGGTGTACTTCACAGACTGGCTGGAAATGACAGAGATGGACTGGCCACCTGACTCCTGTTGTGTCAGAGAGTTCCCAGGATGCTCTAAGCAGGCGCATCACGAGGATCTCAGCGACCTTTATCAGGAGGTAAGAAGAAAAATGTGGATATTTTGGAAGGCTTTGTACATTCTTCCGGATCAAGTCATTTTTCAAACTCATCACTTGCAGTGCAGTAGAAAGTTTTGAGGAGTAATTGTGTTTATAGAAAGTGTTTATTGTGTTTGTTTATGTTTATTGTTTATTAATGCTGAACTGGGGGGGAGGAAGGAAGAAAGGAAGAACCCACCCACCCTTACCTGGAAGTCAGCTAAGTTAGTAGCAATGCATTTAACATCTGAGATATGCTTAAACATTGAGGTATTTGTTTTATATTGGGTAGGTTGGAGTTGAAATTTGCTCCAATCAAAAAACAAAAAAATAGTTTCGGTTTAATGTCCAGTCTCCAGCTTGCCAAAGTAAGATAAATTCTACTTACTGTATGGTAGTGAGGACTGTAGTGGTATGTACAGTGAAGGGTGCTTTTGAGAAGTCCTTTGGAAGATGAGAGCTCTCTTGTTAACACAGGGATCATGCAGGGAGGCAGGTAATTCAGTTGCTCTGCTGTGAGCAAGCACAGAAACTTTGTGTGAAAATGCTCTTTCTCTCTAACTCTACTACATTACAGTATGATTATTATTATAAAAGAATTTTTAAAAGCCTTAAAACGCGGAGACGACTATTTGAACTCAAAGTAGGTAAGGGAGGAGATCATAGTAGCAAGTCATAACTGTTCTTAGGATGAAAATTATTGTAACAAGTAAACATGTTTGCTACTAAAACTCTGGGCTGTTCTCATGAAAATGTCATAAAAAGTCACCTTTGTCTGGAGACTGCTTTGCTACATACCTTTTTTTTTTTTATGCTAACATACCTCTGAAGACCTTTAATTGTGCATTCAGTAAGATCAGAATGACCAACAGTCCAGGTAGTTCAGTAGCAACAAAAAGCACGTCTCAGTCAAGTAGGTATGAGGATCTGAAAAGAGGTGCATTCTTCGTTTGCTTGCTGTAAGAGTAATATAGGGTGCGTAGGAAGGAGGATGGTCCCAATGAGCATGCTTTCAGATGCTGCAGCATGAACATTTCTCTAGTGGACAGTGTAAATCTGCATTTCGGCAGAGCACCCAAAAAAACCATTTTATCTTGTCCCAGTCTCCTACTGCTGTTCAAGAGTCTTTCTTACAAGAGTCTATCATATGGCTCTTGTATCTCTCCACGGCTCCTGAACCTCTGAAACAGGCGAGATTCACTATATAAACAAGCCAAGATGAATATTAGCTATTGCCAGGAAACAACTGAATTTTTGGGAAATGGCATTGCTGATGTGGAGGGATTTGCTAGATTTGTATGGCATTGATTCTACAAGTAGAAATAATACAATTTATTCTGGACTTTCAGACATCCATGCTAGGCCTTGTGTGCTTCCAACTAGGAAGAGGGAAGGTAGCACTGCCAAAAGGCAGGTGCCTCAGAAGGCCAGTCTGTGCTAGGGAACCTTAAAGACAGTGGCAGAGGCTGTTTTCTTTCCACCAGCTGCTTGTAGAGCCTCTCCTGCCTTATGGCAAGGCTTGCAGCACTGGTTACGCTTTAGAAGTGTCAGTCTCTGAATGGGAAAGCCATTCAGGCTTCTTCTGGGGCCTGTCAATCTATTGCACATTCTTGAAGAAGAAAGAGCTGTGCCTCACTCTGCAGTAATGGTTGTTTTTTCTAATACTGGTGCCAGTATTGATACCATACAGCCAACCTCTGCCATAAGGAGCCCTCAAGGAGCGTAAATGTATGGAAGCTGCAGAATGTTCGTTTGCCTTGGGCGTCCTTCCTGCTTATGTGAAAAGGCAATCGTATGTAAGCAGTGTCACTCAAAAACAAATTTTTGAGCTCAGGAAGCCCACAAATTTCTGAGAAGGAATACTAGTCACTAGAGCGTCTCGTTGAAACTGCAAGGTTTTCTCATCTCTTCTGCTAAAATCTCGTTCCCACAGCCATATTGCAGGAAAGTGGTTCTCTGTGCAATTTGTATATTCAGGTTCTTTTGGTTCTACTTAAGGAAAATTAATAATGAAAAATAATAATGATGTAAAACATAAGGGCTCTGAGATTTTAAAACCCCCTGATTTAAAAAAAAAAAAAAAAAAATGCCCCTTGGCTTTTTTTCCAGAAGAAACCTAAAGGGTACATTCTGGTTCTTCCCCTACCATATCCCAGAGCATTTTGGATGGATTCAGCTCTTAGCAAAAATTTTTTTTTTGGTTGTCTACTGCAGAATCAGTTCCAAAAAGGGATAGGCTGTTTTCTGTTTTACTGCCCACAAAATACTCTGTTGCTCTTTGAGATATGTGCAGTATTTGGTTGGCAAAACATTTTTCTTCCATGGTGCTTGCCTATGGGTTGTCTCACAGGCTTGTACAGTATACTTGCTAATATGCTTATCTATATCATGCAAAGCCAACTTACACTCACAAGGCTAATCTGCCTGACTTCTGCTTTGGAGAACTGAAGGAGGAAAGCCTTTTTAAAAAGTGATTCAAAACAAACTTGCATAGTCTGGTGGTTCGAGAGGGAGCCTGATGAGATTAGCCTCGCTAGCCTAAAATTGGCGTATGTAAATGCTTCGCAAGTCCATTCTGGTACTTCAGAAAAATTCTGTGTAGTACTTCCAAACCAAACTTCAGTTTTCTGCTGGGGTAGATAAAATTGTTTTGTTGTCACTGCGCTGTAATTTTCTTCTGGGATCTCAGTGCTTTCTGTAGTGGAAGTTGGAATCCTTCACAACATAATTTCTGTAGAAAGCAAGGTGGCTTACTTATAGTTCTGCTTGAGAGTATTTTTGGCAGGAATCACGTTTTCTCTGCTGGATTTTGAAAGCTGTTTTTGAAATGTGTTTGTCGTCTTAGACTGCTTTTATTCTGACAAGCTTCACCTTTGGTGCAGTTCGTGGAAGAGACTAACCTTAGAAAGTGTGGTTGAGGGAGGTGCATCAAATGATGATGTGGCCTTGTGGTCTGAGGACAAGGGGAGCTCTGCCCATCTTGTGATTGGGAAGTGTAGCCTAGATAAAATGATTGGTAGGAGTTGATATCTTCAGAAAAATCAAAATAGCGTGTTCAATATTTGTTCTTTTGTTTTCTAGCATAGTTTTGAGTATACTCAAATTTGATTATACTCAAAATTCGAGCATGCAACAGATCTGTTGAATATGCTGATGGCTTATCTGTTCTACTCTGAGAAGTGCCTCATTTAAGATCTGTTCCTTATTCTATGATGTTGCAGTAAATCAGAAATGTATGCTTTGTTTCCATTTTAAGACTGAAAATATAAAATGGCCTTTGTAATAAAAATGAACCAGGCCTTTAATACATAGCTCTGTAGGAGTTTGAAGCTAATTCTTCTGAATGATTGCTGTGAAGTTTTGTACTATTTTTGAGTTGTCAACAAGAGCTCCTTGTTTAGTGACAAACTTTTACTTTTGCTGAGAGAAGTGTATTTATGTACTCTTTAATTGCAGGCTACCAACTATGAATGTGTTGCATAAGCAGAAATAAAATGCATAGATGTGGCTGGATATTTCTCAATTTTTAAACTGATTTTGAACATGTATTAGAGCAGAACTGTAAGAACATTATTAAATGGAGGGAGGCAGTCTATCTAGATGGGGCATAATTTGTCTCAGTTATGTGTCTGTACTGCAGGAGATGTAGGCATTAATGTTATTGCTATCTGTTAATGGATGTTTCCTCTAGGCAACAAATGAACTGAATTTGAATACTGCTGTGGTTGAGCATTTTTCAATTGTGACCAGCATGTACCTTCATCCCTTAAAGTTATTAATATTAAATTATTAAAATGCAGCCAGTTTCTTTGTAATTAAAAACAAATTTGGAAAGTAATGTAGTTACAACACTGTCTTCCAGTTGAAGAAAAAAAGACACCAACGTGACAATTTTTATTCCTCATCAAGTTCAACTACATTGCTTTTGCTACAGTGTGGGGTTTTGTGGGGGTTTTGTGTTTTTGGTTTTTTTTCTTTTCAGATTTCAAATAATCCACATTTATTTCTTGTTCTGTCTAAACTATGTTAATGTTTAACAAAATGAGACACTGAGATGACGAATGAAGAAAAGACGTTGAGATCCTTTAACTTTGGTACAACTGTTAGATAGTACCTAAATTTTATTTAGATCCTAAATGAGAATCTGTTGACTGCAGCGTGAATTTTGTGTGTGAGGCAGGCAAGAATCAGGCTTTTCATCAAACACCTTGAGGACTGTAGCATTTGAAGTTGTTGGCTTTGGGGAATCTCTGCGTGATTGAAAACTTATTTATCATGTCCTCTCTTCAGATTCTGCAACTTGGATCAATTGCTTTCTTTTCATAGAAAAGCTATAAGGAACATGGAGTAAGGATATAAATGCAAAAATGACATTTTGAAGATAATGCCCATTTTGATGGGTTCTTGATGTCATCTGCTGGGACCAATGCCTTGTGGTACCCATGGTGTTATCCTGTCCAGATTATTACTCTGAATTTTCCCTTGGTGGCTGTGTTCCTTTGATTTCTGTGCTGTGAAGCCCTGCAAAGTTTAGAATAGAGAATAAGCATGGCCTAGAGTAGTTCAGGGCATTCTCTTCAAAGTTTTGTCCCTGCTAAGACTGGGCATCACCGTTTCTGGGCACCAAGCACCGTAGCCTGTGTTTACGCAGTAGTTCCCAGAGCCAGTGTCTCTGTGTATCGTTGCTGCCTTATGAGGGCTTCGGAGCTTTCCTGAAGCCTTGTACAGTAATTATTTGTCCATTTAAGCAAACTCTTGAGTGTGCGCTGATGGATTGGGAAGAGCTGAGGAGTCAACAAGCAACTATTCTTTCTAAACTTCCGTTCCTAGGAAGCATCAACTTGCGATCTTTTAACAAACTTTCTGTTCATCAGACTTTTTTCTTTGTAAATAGTAATAGTAATTATTATCATTCTTTAAATAATTGCTTTGGATTTACACCTGCTCAATGGTAGGGAGGGGTGGTGTATGTGACCACCATCCTAACACAGCGTGGGGATGCTCAGCCCTTTGGAGCAGGGTCTAGCTGCCTGCTGGGGTTTGTGCAGACTCTGGTGCAGGGTGGGTTGTTACAGCTACTCCCTTGGTATAATGGCATTATAGTAATTAACAGAGAAGTTTCTACAGTCAGGACAGAAATTAAGCCAGTTAATTTTAAAATACATTCTACAGATAGGGGAGATAGGCGGAGTGTAGCTAACCTGAATAGATACGCTTCTTGCAATGAGGAGATGCTTCTAGTTCAAGAATAAAAAGCAGGAGCGAAGCCACATGTATGTGATATTATTACTACTAAGTAAAATCTGTTTGAATGCACTGCATTCTGGAAATTTGGCAGAAGTCCTCCACTAAAGGTTACTCCGTTCGATGCTCCTTACTCAGACGGTGTCTGGAATGTAATGATTTTTCTGCTCCCTAGGGACTTTCTGCGGAACTAATAAACTGGCCCATAATGACTCCAGATAAAATGCTAAAAAAGAAAAGGTGGGAAGAAACACTGATGAGGTTATGCAGGTCTGGAGACCTTTCCTAGAATATTGTTTTAACTTCAGATTGTAGTGTTATTTGTAGAAAAAGTCTCTAAAGAGTTTAAAATAATTGACAAGCTTGAAGATCTGCAATTTAAGGAGAGAAATGAGGATTAAAAGGATTTAATGGCTTTTAAATGTTCACAAAATTAGTTGAGTTTTCTTTAAAAATCAGTGATAGTTGATTGAGGAACTCAGATTCTGAACGGAGTGATTTCTGAATTGAAGAGTAGCACAGCTTCTTACATGCAGTGAACTCTCAGCGTATGAGAAAACTTAAATATGGCATTATGGAGGCGATTAAAGAGTAGGCAAAACAATTTTCAAAAAGTACTGTTTGAAGGAGGTGAGAGAGAGATTTTGGGGAGCCAGGAGAGCCAGCGCTAGGTTTAGGACAAGCTAAATCTTGGGAACTGCAAGCCATATAATACTAACTAATTTTTTTAATCTGTTTTTGTTTCATAGGGATGCGGTAAAAAAATGTACACTTTTTTGAGGGGGACAAAGCAATTGCAAGTGCTGAGATTTCTAGGAATCTCTATCGGAGTAACGCAGATCCTGGCTATGATCCTCACTATTACTTTGCTGTGGGCTCTGTACTACGACAGAAGGGATCCCGGGGCAGATCAGCTCATGGCCCCGAAGAGCGATGCCTCGCAGCAGCTGTCGTGCCATTCCGTGGAGCTGCTGAAACCCAGCCTGACGAGGATCTTCGAACACACATCCATGGCAAACAGCTTTAATACACACTTCGAAATGGAAGAGCTATAGGTGATGCAATGAATCTGAGAAGTCACGAAGGGTTTGAATTGGGTTTTGTTGTTTTTATTCTGTTCCATCAAGTATGCCAGATGTCTTCCTATGCTTCGGAAAACAGCTGATGGGTGGAAGTGAAGGGCCTGTGTAGGAAGAAGGATAAGCCTGTCAGCCTCTTAGAAGAGCCATGAAAAAGTTGATTTTGTTCCTTTGTTTTTTAAAAGGCACTCATTCACTGGGCACAGTAATACTTAACTTACTGTCACAGGCTGTGTGATGTGTAAAATACTGGTTCATTCACAGGTGGACAGAACCTCTAAGGAAGCATCACGGGAAAGGAAGAGAAATGCTCGTCTTCGGAAGAAACAACTGGGCTTTGGACAAACAAAATGTGACTTCAGCTGAAATTGACTTTTACATTTTTAATAAGCCATTTGGAAAATGTCTTAATCAGGGATCTATGTATATACAATTGTGTGTTTTTGTGTGTGCATGGAAAGCAGAACTACAATTCAAGTCAATACTTGGATTTAAAAATTTGCAAGATGTGTTAAAAGGGCAAGATTTTCTTTTTTCTAACAAAACCTTTATCTTAGCTGTTGTTAAAGATGTTCTAAAACGTCTATTTTTATCTAACATAACTGTTTAATTTTTAATTTTAAATATATTAAACAGGGATTAAAAACAAAACTATGACTCTGGACAATAGACTTTAATTTTCTGAGTAATTCTGGAGAATTCGTCTTTGAAACAGTTTGTTCTATGGACTATTTCTTCGTAAAAAGAAAAGAAAAAAACCTGTAAACATTCTTTCCAAAATGGGAATCAGTATGGGAGTAGCACATTATTATAGATAAATCTTTTCTCCTGTCTGTGATTCCCCTGAAGGTAGAAACAAAACACTACATGGAAAATGCTTACAGTTCTGGATGCTATTGCAATAATTGTAAAAGTACATAAGGAGAAATTATACTTGGCGGTGTCTTCATTAAGAGCTCTCTAGTGGCTTAAAATGCCAACTGGAAACAGCATTAAAATGTATTTATTGAGGTGGGGAAAGTGCATTTTACTGTATTTTTATGAACAATGTTTATTTCATAGGATTATTTTTACAGTTGGCCACACTCCTGAAATATATATTTGTTCCACTGAGTACAGTAGTTTGTGGCAAATGGATTTTTACATAATATTACATTTAAAAAAAATCTTTCAGTTGTTTTGGAATTTGTAAAAGAAAAAAAAAAAGCAAGGTGTGACTTCGGTAGACAATAAATTTACTTTTGTCTTAAATTCCATAATGGCTTTTTTATTTTTGAAGTCCTAGAGCGTGAAAGCTTTGGGTGGGAGTTGGGAGGGTCCTCCTCCTGGTGTGAGTTAATTTGCCGTGTCTACCCATTCCACTTACTCTGGTGTGGAGAAACGGAATTGTAAATTTAATCTTCTTTTTTTATTGCTTCTGAGAAAACTTCTTAAGGGCTCGTGAAATTAAGCTCTTCAGTTGTGTGGGCTGCTGTTTGTGTTTTAGCAGCCTACATGTGGGTGTAATTATTTCATGGGTACTACTGCTGCAAGCAAGATTACCTTTCTGGTTTTGTATCTCTCCTACAGAAATGCTAATGCATATTTTGGAAGGTAAGAAAAAGGCTGAAGGACAGACTTTCCAAAAATTTTGCTTGGAGTATCTTTGTGGGAATTACTTTCTCATGCGCTGTTTGGGAAGCCATGTGCCCAGCTTTATGGCAGATTTCCATCCTTCCCATCGCTTAGCCTGGGCAGCGTTTCCATAGCTAAGGGCAAGGTTCCTGTGCAGAAAAAGAGCCGGTGTCTGAGAAAGCCTGGATGTAGACCAGCTCTAGACTTCAGAGTGCTACAGACACCTGTGATGCTACACAATGGATTGAGCCATTGCTGGGGTTTTTCCCCCTTTAAAAAAAAAAAAAAAGCCAACAAACCAGATTATGGAATGGTTTGATTGTGTTTTGCATGGATTACATGTACACAGCCACATTCAGTTTGTGGATTACAGCTGACTGTAGGGAGTTTCACCCTTAATGTAAAAAAGGGCAAGAAAAAGACCTGCCTTTTGTCCAGGAAATCCTGGCACTTAAAGTTTTACCCAAGGAGTGTCTGTGGAAGCTCCCTTAGGCATGCTTCAGCTATCCCGAGTCCTCCTAAAGGGAGGACTCCCTGGGCTCCCAGTGAGGTTGCCTGTGTATCTTCTCGTGTCTGGGTTAGAGCTCATGAAGGGGTAAGTACAGCAAGCTGAGGTAGGGAGATTTGTTCAAGAAGTCCACAGCTGGAATTAGAGATACTGACAGCCCAGGTCATTTGGGTTTTGGCTTCCTTGGAGGTGAGGAAGAGCTACCATTAGGTGTAGCCAGGTAATTCTAAGAGCAGGAGTGCAGCTGTCCAAAAGGGCGAGTTGGTGTGCTTGCTGGGACAGGCTCAGGGGCAAAGGCTCCTTCCTTCCAGAGAAACGGTCACGTGGTGGAGTCCCTTGTTAGGGTCTCCTTAAATCCAAAACCATTTGTACGTTGACTTGGAGTCATCCTCTTCCTAGGCATTGAGGATGGTATTTATGCGCCCCAGATGTTAGTCTGACAAAAGAGGTTAGAGCTGCACAGTGACAAAGTGTTGGGGAGCTTCTGTGATTGGGGTGGGCATTGGTATGCCATCCTTGTAAGCCCAGGATTGCTCCTACAGGGCTGTAACCAGTAAGGTTCCATGTATGGTCCTTGCAGGGGCTGCCAGTCCTTGGAGTAAAAAATAAGCAAGATATTAAAGGCACCCTGAGAAACACCAGAAGGACTCAGGGTCTGCAGATGTTCCAGGGATCTGCTCGATTTTTCAGTAAAGCAGCTCGTTGCCTCTTGTTCAGCTCAAATAATGAAGGGCATCTCTCGTATCGCAGCTAAAACAGGACACTCTAGGTCCAGGAGATGGTAAATCCAGGAGGTGGGGTTTGAGGTAGCACTTCTCCAAAACTAATTTGGTGGTGGTTCCCTCATTCAAGGATTGTTTGGGATAGGGGTCCTTTGCTATAGGAGCAACCTCCCAGACCAGTGTTTGTGGACCCCCAGGGCAGTGAACATCAGTGGTCAGGGTCACCTCACTTGGGCTTGGCTACCCAAATCCTGAGCCAGTTTGTGTTCAGAATGGGCCTAGTTTCATTAGGGGAAAGACCCACATGGCAGGAGTGATAAAAGTGTTCCCTTCCTTAGTGAGGACTACGGATAAGCATTCTGGGAAGGAATCCTATTTTGAGTATGTAACCACATTTGCCAAAATAGGTCTCTGCTGTAAATTGGAACACTTTCAGACTTTTTTCTTACAGCATGCTCAGGCTATGAGGTGTCTCTGTTTTTCTAGGGCTTGCTCAAAGAGCCTTAAAATTAATTGACTAGGCTGCAGTGAGTCTGTTCTTTTTCTGTAGAGCTTTAGGATATACGTCGGAGAGAGGCTGCCTGGCAAGGGGGGAACATTTAGAGTTATTTGCAGCAGTGAAAAATACTTCATCCTTTTATCTCTGTTTTCCCTCAGTTTTGCAGGAGTACCTGGAGGAGAAGGGTGGTGTGTTCTTTCTTCTCTGCAGCACAAACTGTAATGAACCAAATCTTTCTTGTTGCGACAAACAACGATGGAGCTGCTCCTTAATGCTTTTCACAGGCGGCTTAATGTCGAGGGGAGCAACTGCGTTAGAAAAGGGGTCACCCCCTGCCCGCATCAGGTGTTTCCGTGCAGCCTGGTGAATCACCCCGAGTCCAAGGGCCTGTGCCTGTAGCTGTGGGGCCGGGTCAGGTTTGCACCACGCCGTCGAGACTTGGGAGTGTGGGGATGCTTTTAGGAGGCAAAATTCACTGTTCCTGATCTTTTGGACAAGGTATTGATTCATCTGCCAGCAGGTTGTATGACAAGGCTTTCTGAAGGAAATGTAACTATGTCTTCTGTTCTTCATAACAGTTCATTTTGTAAAAGCAACCCCTAAATATAAGGGAATTAGTAAAGAATAAATAGTAAAAAGAGAGGCTGTTGGTCATGGTGACTGTACAGTTAAATATGATAGAGGCAGTGATTTTCAAATAGTTTTTGAAGCTTTTGCCACAAAAGGATTATATTTGATTCATATGAATTGCTGTTATTGAAGTCAGATTGTATCTAAAGCTTTAAAACTCGTGTATGATCGACTACATTTCCTAAAAAAAAAATAATTGGGATGCCCTAAATACTTCAGAATTTTTATGCATCACTTGCTTTTTAGTCAGCGCTCCCCCACCTTCTTTCTTGTACACAGATATTGCAAAAATGGGTACCTTAAAAGTAGATAAACAGATAATGCACATAGGTAGGAAGCGAAGCTGTGCGGGTAATTTGGTGTATCTTACAGCCTGTGTCAGTCTAAATATGTTGTTCACTCCTGACTGCTCTTTCAGCTGCACGTTTACATAGCCCGTCAGCTGATTGCTATTCCAGAACACCTGAAAATCTTCAGATGTTTCCATAGTCTATGGGGAAAATAAAGTCCTGGAGGGCCCCAGAAGCAGGAAAGAGAACATACAACCTCCCTGCCCAAAATTTTATGATCCTGTGGTTTCACTAATGTATCCAGACCAGTTTCCGAAAGCCACCCTGCTCCCTGGAGCAGCCGAGGTTGCCTCGCATTCTCGGCAGAAAAAGCCCTCTCTCGGCAGCCAGTGTGCATCCACAGCGAGTGTATCCAAAATGCTTCCAGTTTGTCTCTGGTAGCCATTTCACAGGAGGACACTTATTTTCCTTAACAACACTCTGGGATGGCTCACAGGCGGGTACTGCTTTTACCTCTTTCCCCCCCCAACGAGCGGTGAGCTCCTGGCAGAGGCGGCACACGCAGCCGGTAGGGCAGCATCACCCGCACTGCCAGGCGCCCTTCGCAAGCGATGCGCGGGGTGTCGTTACCCGCTGCCACACCACAGAAAGGAGTTTGATCTCATCTGTGCACTAATATTTTATCAAGACAATTTGTTATTGGGTATGGGGCGCCTCTGTAGCCTGGGAGGCTCAGCAGAGCGGTCAGTGTCTGGATGGATTGAAAACGTAGCATATACTTTTTTAAAACTACAGATAGAGAGGGGGGGTTCATATTGCTGGAAATAATTTAATGCCCCAGTTTTCTCTGCTGCTGCAGGCTGGGATGGGAAAGGTGATGGCTGCTCACACAGGAGGAGGGCAGCTCTGTGTCATGGAGCTGCGGCATCCCAGTCTTGGTGGCTCTGGTATGGTTTAGATGCACTCATGGCTTGCCTGTGATTAGTGCCGGGGACATTTTTTGCCTTAAAATTCAGTGTTCCTTCAATCTTAGTAGGAAAAAAAAAAAAGTTCCATCAATAAGTTATTGCAAAACCAGGCTGACCCATTCAAGCATGCAGATGTTTTATTTAAATATTCCTCAAATGTCTATTTATTCAGCATAACGCATGTATTATGCTGCCTTCTGAAATACGATATATGACTGTCAAACAAAATTGTCAAAACAACAACCTCGGTTTCTTTGTATGATACACAGAAATAATTACATTTCATGTACAGTACAGATGCATTTTACACAGTCATCAACAGTCATTCACTACCAAAAC